AAAAAAAAAAAAATCAACTGCTGCATGAGTTCAGAAACATCGATTTCAAAGTGCCTTTATGATTATTTTCTCATAATTATGACTAGAACTTTTAACCATGGGAAAAGCAAAAAGCAAAAGGCGAAGATCATACCGTCGCAGCCACCAATGTGCTTCCCGCCAATGAAGACGTTTGGCACAGTGCGCTGACCAGTCCACTCAGCCAGTGCTGCCTGGATCTCACTTCCATCCTCTACATAATCAAATAGAATCATTGGATTCAACAGACAAGAAATAATAGTAAGAAAATTGCACCAATTTACTCACTTGGCTATCTGTCCTGAGAATAAATTCACATTACACTGAAGAATAGTGTTGGTTTGAAACTATGGACAAGAAATACATGCTCAGCAACTTTATCCGTCAGAAGAATTACAACTAAAGAGGTCATTTTAGACGGAGCAAATTGCTTAAACAACATTATTAACTAACTAGAGTTTCCAAATTGCCTTGCATTGCTAGCAAGATGTATAATAAATAAATGATACTTCTACACAATTATAGCAATATGCACCAAATTTCGCTCCACACACAAATGATAGGCTACATTCTTTCACATATTTAACACAGAAAGTCCAATAGAACAGTAGTTTATCTGGTGGTGATATTAAGATTTGAGTTTTAGACAACCACTAAAGTCCTTCAAGGACAAATGTACACATTATCAACATAGACAAGAGGTATGTGAGAATTGCATAGTACTGGAAATGAAAAAGAGGTATGTGTTGCTACAAGTAGTTTAAGTTTACTGAGCAAGCTAGCCAAACTTTGTGCTAAGCAAGCTATATAACTAGCTTCCCCAGTAAGGTAAGCTGAGTCTGATCATGTGGTATTGTAGCTACTTGCCTACTTGTTGGTAAATTGCAAGCAAGTTATTACTATTGTCTTACAAACAGCTTGCTATACTCTTATTTTAGTTTCTTTTTATAACGGTGGTACCCAGACCGGCTTGCGCACCTCGACTATTACATGGGATACCTGCAAACTCCCATCAGCACAAATGTCGGGTAACTCTGTCAACAAGGCATATGCAGATGGGGCGAAATCACCTCGTCAACTTGCTATACTCTATTAGAGTCTCTCTTAGGTCTATCATAAGCAACAGAGGGAAAGTAGGTTTCTCTCTCGTTATCTCTAGGCCACTCGACTACCCCCTCGGGACTATACAAAGTTCGAATTGTAGAAAAACTTCGATTGTTAGAATGATGGCTACACGATTTATTATCTAGCAAAAGAAAAAGAATACTAAATTTGCTTTCACAAAAAAATAAAATACAAAACGATTGATAATCGAAATTGCAAATCAGAAGCAGAGGCCTTACTTTCAGTATCTAACTCAACGGCATTGAACGAGGCACCGAGCTTACTTAACAAATCCTTGACGCTAACGCAGAACGGACAGTACGTCTTGCTGCGAATTCAATTGACAGCCATTTCAGATCAAACAAGCATTAATAACATTTCAGATTTTTACAAAATACACAATTAAACATATAGAGAGAGGTGACCTGAAGACCACGACAGGATTAGCAGAAACAATTTCCTTAGCCTTGGCAAGTGCCATTTTCAATCAATTTGCTTTTCAAAAAACCCTAGATTATACTGAAGAATTCCTACTTTTGGATAAAGAATGCTTTCCTGAAGCTCAATTTATAGAATTTGACACGACTGGTAATGGCCTTGCCGAAAAAGAAAGAAATAAAAAGACAAATTTGTCCCAAAACATTCTGGGCCCACAAGATTTTATTAGACCGAGGCCGGCCCATTAATGACTCCAGAATACTGTAGTGGAAATGACACCGGTATCATTTACGGTATATAATATATTTAAATATTAGTTAATTCGCTCAAACTTCGTAGCATTGTGTTTTAAAATTTTAAAATTATTTTCAGAAATTTAAAACTTATATCCTGAATGTTAAATTAGCAATTTAATTTCAAATTAGCATCTCAAAAATTCAGAATACTTAATTCTAAAATTTGAGTAAAGTTAACTAATTTTTAAATATATTTTATACAGGAGGCTTATAAGTGCCTACTGATACACTTCGCCCAATACTGTAGGGTCAAAGCCTTGAGAGGATTAATGGCTGGCTCGTTACTACTTACTATGTAAATTTATCAACTAATACACGATATTCAATTGTCGTTATTACTTATGTAAATGACTATGCTTTTATTTTAATTGTTTACGACAGTTGAATAACCAGTTTGTTCCAAATTTTTAAGTCTCAAAATGGTGGTGATATTCGGTTGCTATAGTATATTGTGTAAATTTCATTCACTTTCCAACAAAAATACGAACGTAGTTGTATTTTAATTATTTTTTTTATGTTAATGCCACCATTGTGGTGGGAGGTTAAGGCTTGTCCTCGAGCTGTGTATTATAACGGGTAGGCAAAAATCTGGTCGGAGTAGGACATGTAACTGTCCGCATCCTTTACAAAAGAAGGCCAGTAATGGGCACCATAGAGCAGGCCTTATACAGAAAGATTAATAAGCAACAAGCTGAAAAGTAAACTATGAAGCTATACCACAAAGTGGTTCTTCCTAGGCTTAATTCTGAACTTAGTAAGTTGATTGCTATCTGTCTTCAGGGTAGCTCTCAATCTTAGTAAGTTCTTCCTAGCATTCACATAAGAGATTTTGTTGCATCATTTGTGGGTATGCTCGTGATCGCCCAAGTTGGGGGATCATTTTTGTGTTCCATACGCGCCGATTCGAGGTCGGCAGGTATGGTCGTGGGTGGCGCGTGAGATCGAAGCTAAGGACCGTTGCTTACTGCTATTTTTATGAGGAAAGAGAAGGAAACTCGTGATTTTATTTTGAACAAAATGCAACTGGTTGTATTTTAATTGTCTTTTGGTAATGTAGAAGTCACAGACCACCTCTACATTTGGTACGCCTTGTGTTAGGACCCGATTCTTTGTCAATCGGACGTGGCGCGGCTATGGCAAGGATTGGGGCGTGATGGTCTTGCTGTTGGCCTATGCGGGAGCAAAACGATCATGCGGGACAATGGACGAGAAACATTGTCATGAGAACAAGTATTGACCAAGGTCTTGAGACATGCAAGATGGGCTTGGCAAAGGCTTGATGAGGCAGTGCGGGTAAGTTTGGGCGGCATGAAGCGGCATGCGCGCCAAAGGCAAAGGTACGGGCAGTTCAAGTTGTGGGAGCGCCAAGTACAAGCTAAGCTAAATCGCGGAGGCACGAAATGATGGCAAAGGGTTTCAATAGCTAAGACAAAGCTATGTGAGACAAAAGACAAGCAATGGCACGGATGAAACAAGTGTTGACAAAGACAAGGCAGAAATGCGGCAAAGGCAATGTGCGGCCGACAGGTGTCGGGCGTGTGCGGTAAAATCATGGACATCAGGTTGCAAACGAGACATTGGCGCGGAGCAATGTCAAAATCAGCCAAGGCTGGGCGCAATGCCAGACTTGGGGGGTGCAATAGCTGATCAAGAAAAAGGGCACATGTAGTGCACATGCCAAAGCAGTGGGCCGTTGTATTTTTGTAATGACTTGTATCCATGTCTGTTTAGTGCTTGTAGCTAATGTCATTTCGTGTAAGATAATGGCCTATGTAGTTGGGGGATGTCAACTACAAGATAGGATCAGATTTAGTAATGCTGTGTGTAATGACTTGGTTCAGTGGGAAGTGGGACCAGTGCTCCACCAGTGGGCTAAGTGCTCCACCAGAAGAGCTGAGTGTTCCACTATGAAGGCTGAGTGCTCCACAAACAGAAATAAGTGCTGGAGAGAGCCATTTCGTGGGCAAGTGCCCCATTAAATGGTTAAGTGCTTATCAGTGCTTTGACTGGACAAAGTACAATGACGGAATTACCCCTTTGTATGATGTCCCTTAATATCTGCCAGTGGAAGCACCTATATCTATATATATGGGGGCATTTCGTGAAAAAAAGGCATCAAGACCATGAGGGTCTATGACTATGAGAGATCTAGACTATGAGGGTCTTAGATCAAAGACGAAAATCAAGACCATGAGGGTCTTGTATCAGGCATCAAGACTATGTCTTGTGCAGAAGGAGAGGGTCTTCAACTGAAGAAGAGGGTCTCCAAGACGAAAATCAAGACTGTAAGAGTCTTGTGCAGAAGGAGAGGGTCTTCAAATGAAGAAGAGGGTCTCCGAGACGAAGACGAAGACGAAGTGGTGCTAAGGCTGGGCATGGGCAGGTCTTAGTGTGTTGAGATCAGCTTGTGATCTTGACTAAGTGGGCTATGAACGACTCGTGTTCATAGCATAGAGACGGAAACAAGTTAGGAAGGTGATTCTTTCTAAGTGTTTCAAAACGGGGGCTAAGGCTAGGCTTTGGGCAGGTCTTAGTGTGCAAAGATCGACTTGTGATCTTTGCAAAGTCGGAAAACAAGAGAGAAACATGAGGGTTTCTAAGTGTTTTCAAAAGTGGGCTAGGGCTTGGCATGGGCAGGTCTTAAAGGGCAAAGATCGACTTGTGATCTTTGCCAAGTGGGAAAACAAGAGAGAAACGTAAGGGTTTCTGAGTGTTTTCGAAAGTGGGCTAAGGCTGGAGCGTTGGCAGGTCTTAGTGACAAGATCTATTTGTGATCTTGGCCGGACGAAGTGGGCTGTGAACGGATTGTGTTCATGGCAAAGAGAGGTCCTTTGTATGTTTTGTTATTAATACAAAGGTTGGGTTTTTCCCGTAAATGTTGGTGTTCTCTTTATGTTGCTGCCGAATTTTGTGGGAAGCCAAACTTGATGAAAAGTTGGCTAAGTGTTGGAAAAGGCTGAGTAACTTGAGGGTCAGGTTGCTGCCGCGCGGTGTCAAGTTGGGCGCGAAAAATTGGCCCAAAATGGCCCCGTGACACCTTGGTGCTTCGAACTTTTAGTTGTTCAGTTTCGAATCGAAGAAATATCTGCATTTACCTTGGACTTTATTAGTTTATTTGAACTCAACCATTTAAATTTTACGTTTGTCTGAAATTTTATGTTTCTCATTTAGAAGGCTATCTTTTTGATCTGTTTGGGGCATTAATATGTTTATATTAAATAAATAATTATACTAGTTGAGGCATTAATACATGTGTTCCTTAAGTCCTATAAAATTCCTCCTTTGTGGAGGGTGACTTAAATAAAAAGGACAACTAAAAGTTGAATTTGCAACGAAGAAGTAACAACAACAAAAACCCAACTTAGAATGTGTAGCACTACCCACAGAGCTATATATTACCAGAGTCGAGAGGTCGACCCATGAAGAAATCACATGCTTCTGTTTAAAAGAGTCATTCCTTCTTGTTGGGACTTGACTTGTTTCGGTTATAGTACACAAGAACATTAGCTAGAACACCTCGCAATGACATAAAATTGACAAATGGGCGAGAAATGGCATTTTTATTTGAGGATCTTAAGTCGCACGAGCATGAACCACTCAAAGAGATGTTATCTCCTATCTATGCGATTACAGAAACTTGTCTAAACGAATCTCCATTGGCAGCATATAGATTTATGTTCACTGTGAAGGGTATGAGTAGGAAGCGAAAAATATGTGATGACTTGCAGCTCATGATCTGCTTCAGCTCATACAACTGCGCAGGCACCGAGCTTCTCTTGAAGTTTCTGTGCTACAGCATCAATAAATTCTTCAGTATTCAAGTAGTGTTCCCTTGATACCCTGCACAAGTATAATCACTCACAAATTGAGCTTCAGACAGGCACAGCCTATTCATGTTTACACCTCTGCGTTTGGTTTAGCTTGCTAACTGAATCAGCTCTTAGTTAAAAAAAATATCATTAAAAAATTGAGTGGTAAGAAGGTAAGAACATTCTTCGTTGTATTGTTCAAAGTGACCTAAGCTATGGAATTTATTGTTCACATTATATGTCCTTTGCCAGAATAATCTCATTTTCATAAAATGTGTACCAAATACAAAAAAAGGACCTCCCCCTCCTTTTTGTGACCCAGGAGTAGGGTGAGGAGTTGCCTTCAATTAGAGGAGATACTAGTAAATCTAAGTGTGGAGGAAGGAAATAGAGCAGGAGTATACAGGCTGTAGATTTGATACTGAAAAGAGTAAACCACCACTTACTTGGGTCCATGAACCAATATAGCTAAATCCTTAGTCATCTTCCCGGACTCTATTGTGCCAACGCAAGCAGCTTCCAGGGCGTGAACAAATTCAGATAACTTTTGGTTCCCATCAAGCTGGGCCCTGCAAATAGATCAGTGCGTATCCTTTAGGCTTTGAGAGACAGATTCATCGAAATCAGGATAATCATAAACATTAACAAGGATAATATAATTGAATGGTGCATCTAAAGCTGAGAATCGTTGCTAAGCAACAGCAAAGCTCCCAACTTCTTGAATCCTGGTGAGAGATATATATGTTTTTTTCCCATATAGAAGGGTCCTTTAGTTTTTCTTCCAGATCAGATAATGACCACTTCCCGAAAAGGAAAATAGAACGGAAAAGAAATATAACCAGTATTTAGCTTTTGGGGTGCCCCAAACCATAACAAAAAAGGCTTTTTCATTTCACTTCTCTTAAACACATTAGCTTCTCCGGAATACTTCTTAGTTCTTGCTCTATAGAGAGTTCTTTCGTCTATAGAAGGGCAAAAATGAAAAAGCAGGAAAAACTTCTAATATTCTTTGAATGTGTGAAGAAGTAAA